TCTTCTATCCAACAAATATTAAATTGTTTCTTTATAATACTCTTTAAAGGTTTCAAATGGTAATGATAATTAATTAAATAAAATAATTGTCTATTATTAACTAACAGTTATTACTTACAATTAAACAAACTACAATAGATAGATTCATGTCTTGAAAAAAAATTTTCTTTCTTCTAACGATAAATAATAAATAATAAATAATGAATTTTGTATCACGGGAGGCACGTGCAGCCAATAAAATGCTTTAATTCCTTAAATGCACACCCTCCCTAAATGCACGCTCTCACTCATTCCCAAGGGGGGTGCACTTATGGGGGGTTGACTGTAGTTTGGTTTTGTTGCAGCCCCATATAGCAGTTCTGGTATTATACCATAAATAGTATTTCCTAATTTACTAAATTTTATGCAGATCTTTTCGTTAAAGAAAGCCAAGGAAAACATGGCGAGAGCTTTACTAACTGGTCATATAACCTCCAAATTATAGGATTAAGCAATATAAAGATGTCATTTTTGTGACTAAATATATAGGGTATTATTTTGATAGATAAATTTAATATTATACACAAATTCAATAATTTTTCCTTAATAGCTGTTTTACTTGCATTTCATTTAATCCAAAAAAAATAATAAAAATAATCAACTAATATTATGTATTTTCACTGATTATAACTAGATCATTCATTTTACCCATTGGATACATAACGTAAAAATCAGAACAATATTTCTAATAATTCATAAAACAAATATATAAATTTAATATATATAAGTAAATTATTGAATAAAAAAACAATTATTTTTAATTATTACATGTAAATTAGATGAAAGCAAGCTTGGGTGTATTCATTGATAGGCAACTGTCTAAAACTAGAAGTTTGTTCTATATATCCTATGGTTACTATTAATAGTAATGTCTAATTCTGGTTGACTGTATAATGTTTGCCATAATGAACTACTTTAATATCTTTACCTATAGGCAATAGAATCTGTCTCCAGTGTATCTTGTGAACACTTTTGTTTTTTTTAATTGAATGTACAGTCAAACCTTGATAAACCGAACTTTTGGAATCACAAAATAGGATTGGAGGGTATACTAAAAAATTTAATAAATTCCATTATGGTATCTATAATAGAAATTTCTAGAATAAAGGTTTTCATCCTGTTGCTCATCTATTTCTGTTGGTTGAATTAATGCAATAATATCCTCATCTTCCATTACTAATTCACCTGCAACCATGTTATTCTCAATATTTAAATACTTGTCCGCTAAAAGTGAATCATCAAATGGGAGTTAATTAATTAAATCTTGAACTTCACAATTTTCTCATTCAGTATCAATTTCAACATTATCAGCTTCAATATTATTCAAAAATTCTAATTCTCGTGCTTTTTTATTAGAACATGACATGGTTAAAGATCAACAGGCTTGTCTAAATACATAGTTTAATAATCCACTTTAATCCACATTCACATAGTTTTTTTTTTCAATAAGTTACATATTTTGGCTTTTTATTATTTTTTTTGTGTAATTATAGAAATTGCTCAAATTCCTCAATGTCAAATACAAGACAACCAGCCAAACTTTACTATGTTTGTTTAAAGACACAATAAATATCCAGAGAGCCAATTACGACCATGTAAAACTGACTCACAAAAATGGAAGCACACATCAGTACCTACTGCAGTTGAAAGAGTAAATAAATGAGGGAAGATAAAACGGATTTACAAGAATGTCTCAATTTTGGTAGAAAAGATCGTCAAAGGCCAATTAAATTTCAAGGTGTGACTGTAGAATTGATTTCCATTTATGGTATAATCCCATATATACATGATTTGTATAATTTTTAGTATAAGGACAAGTCAGCAGCAAGTAGAAGATAATAAAACATACCTGAAAACAGAAAACTCCATGCGACTTTACTGTTGTTAACTTATAAATTTCACTTCTTAATCAATCTCCATGACTAAAGCGTTTGTTAGTAGGATTTCAATATAAAAAAGATCGTCGCTTTATATCACATTTATATTTAGTGATAGTATAGTCCACTGTGCTTGTTACTATTACTATTAAAATTTTTTGTTTTGATTATATTATTTCCGATATCGAATCTCAAATATTAAAAATAAATGTCTTATCCACATTATAAACGTTCATCGGCTCAGAGACAACCTTTTATACAACAACAACAACAACAATTAGCTGATTTGTCTGGTGAAAACAACAATCCCTTTATTGTTTCTAAAGCCTCTCCTTCTACACCAACTACACCACAACGTTACAGAGAGTCAACTTTACTATCTAGTCCTATTTTCCATTTTCAAAATACAGATCGTCCTTCAAAAGTAAGTAAACATAAGTATATATAATTATTATTTTAAATTTTATTTGAAAATAAAACAAAATCTTTTTAGAGATCTAAAGTAGATAAAGAACTTCCAATATATACTGGAGCAAGTTTATTAAATGATAATAATAATAACAATAACAATAATTTACCATTTAATTTCACACCAATTATTGGAACAATTCAACAAGGTATAAATAAAGATTCAAGATATTTTTACTCGTGTATATTTAATAAATATATATACAAGATATGGTATTTATTGGTTGTTAATTAATAGAGGCTCGTATGAAAATTCAGGAACTTGAAGCTAAAAAAAATGAAAATGAGAGTAAAATAAAAAAATTTGTGACAGATAAAACAGATCTTGAACTTAAAGTTGAAGAACTTAATCTTAATATCAAGGTTAATATTACAATACTATTATTATATCCATTATTACTGTTGTTATTGATTAATATATATTTAGATTTTGGAGAATAAACTTAGAACAACCACTAGATTAGAAAAAGAAATGTTGGCTAAGTGTCATGAATTAGAAGAAGAAAATTCAAAACTTCGAGTAAGTAAATAAACAAATAAAAAATATTATTATTACTTGAAAGTGCTTATTAATTATCAATTAATTAATTCATTGATTTTTTTTACATGAAGATGGAATCACATACAGAAATTCAACAACTTAAAAATGAAATTCATATCCTTAATCAAAATCAATTGGATACAAAGAGTGAGAGTCGTATAAAAGAAAATGATTTAATCAATAAAGTTCGTAGTTTAGAAGCAGAAAAAATAGATTTGCAATCACAAATTGGATATCTTAATGATCAGGTTTTTCATTTAAATCATTTAAATCTATGTGTATATTATAACTTACATTTAATAATAATAATATTAAATATAATATAATATATATAGATTACTTTATATTCTGATAGAATAACATCTAATCAAAAACTTTTATCCTCTACTCAAGAACAATTGGCAGAAGCAGAAAAGAAATTAAGAACTTATAATATTCTTTCACCTCAATTAGAAAGCCTTGATTTACTTAAAAATCAGCTAAAGGGTAGCTATATTATTAATTCATAGTAAGCTCGTTTGTTGAATTTATTTTTACAAGTTTATAAAATTGGAACAGATCAATTGGATCATATACAAAAATTGGAAGAGAAAAATAAGGAATTGGACAGTAAAGTTAAACATTATAAAGAAATTTCACCAGGAATTAATATTCTACAACAAAAACTTGATGAAACAGAATATCAACTTTATCAATTAAGTACACTTCGTAAAAAAGCCGCTGTTTTGGAAGCAGAAAATACATTATTAAAAAATGAAAAGACTGAATGGTATTTATTATTATTGTTATTGTTATGATGATTATTATTAGGATTTTTATTATGATTTATTTTTACTCCCATTATCTTCACCTCAAACATAAATTAATAGGTTGAGTTATCTTGATCAAGAAAAGGATAAATTAAATGTTAATTCACCATATAGCCTTTGTAAAGAACTTGCATCGCGAAGAACAGAAATTCAAATGTTAAAAGCACGAATTCAAAACTTTGATGAACAATTAAAGAGTAAAGATTCTGAAATTTCTGAAAAAGAAGCTAAAGTAAGTTTATAATGCCAGGATCCGTTAATCACATCCATCTTAATTATCTTACACACACATATTTATTATTATTTTTATGTGTTAGATCAAACAAATACAAGAAAAATGTAATTTGATGATTTCTGAACATGGCAAAGAAATGGAATCATTGAAACAAGATAATCTACTATTCAGGAAAGAAGTTGAGATGTTGTCAGCAAGTTTGGTGAATATAGATTTTTTGAATTCTTATAAAATATATATAAACATAATAATTAATTAATCAATCAACTCTCTCTATGTATAGAAATCTTATGAAGATGAGGATAAACTTTTATCATCTCGTCATAGCGCGTAATAATAATTACAAGAAATAATATGTATATAGATAGAGATATATATATTCTTTATTTTTATTCAAAATTATAAATCCATGTAATTTGTTTGCTATTTTGAATAATATTTAATTACATTGTGTTACAAAAAAAAATTGAAAATTTTTATTTACCTGTCTCTCAGTAATAGTTGAATGAAATGGATAAAAAAATATACCAAAGAAAATTGAAAACTAGAAGTTATAAAATTTTTGTTCCATTAAAAATTCAATTACAAAAATTTGTGAACTCATTCCTCACTAGTCTACCAAAAATTACTCTCCATACAGCCAACCAAGAGTTGAAAACATTCTCTCACATGAAGCATTGCTGGGTGTAATTGAGAAAATTCTCAATGCAGGCTAGAATATAAAATACCTGAATCTAAACTTATAAAACTTGCCTTTTAAAGAAATACAATGATTTTCTAAAAAATCTATAATCATTAGATGGTAAATAGTATTTTTTTTCGCATTTTCAAAAAGGCATGATTTTTTAATGATAACAATAAGGAAGTTAATTATGAATCGTTACATTTTCGAAAAAAAAACTTAATTAACAATAATGAATTAATTCCGAATTGTTTAGTGATTATTATAATAAATACAACCTTGAACGATTATAATTGAAAGACTCATAATTATGCCCTTTTAAGCAACTTTTATTTATTTATCAAAATACCCCATTAGAATAGATTTTACTAAATAAATTATATACCTATTATTATGTGTATGTGTTTTATTAATGTATATGATTTATAATTCTCATTCCCAAAAAAATTGGCCTGTTAAAATTTTATTCCCCTCCTGTATAAAAAAATTTGTTTTTATTCTTTTTATTCTAATCTTGATCTAAATTAAAAAAATGATTATATATTTCTTTATCGTTTTCACGAATTCTATCCAACATTTTTTCTTTAGCTCCAGGATTCCATATATCATAGATATAATGATCAGGTGCTAGCTCTTTCACCTCTTCTATCTCATTCAAATCTTGTATAGTTGGAGACCAGGTAATATTGTTCAATTTTTCATAGAAATAAATGTTATTTTCGCATACTTTATCCATATGAGTCCTCAATCCAAAAAATTCCACCCTATTTGTACAAAACATTTTTTCCCTTGCTGCCAGATATGTTAAAATTGCTTGATCTTGTCGATGGTTTGTTCTGTTGCTACCTTCTGGTGCTATACATTGTTTTATTCGGGCACACTTTACCCAATTATTCATTAAATGTCTTACTTTATTTGAATCAAATGCTATTGCTGCTCCATTACAATTTGCACGGCTTGAATATTTTTTTACATTATCATTAAAATAATCAAAAACACCTTGATGTGTCCATGTTGGTATGTAACCAGATGATATTGGTGAAAAGAATCCATCATAATAGTTCAAAATGAGGTTGAATTGTTTCAAAAATCCTGGTGATACATAAGTTCCAGAGTCGAGCCAAAACGTTGGCCCAGGATAATCTCTAATAACCTCAGATATTATACCAGGTTTCCATGCATACTCGCCTCTTGTCTCATTATCTACTTTCCAAAATGCTGGATACCTTTCAAATTCAAATTTTCTCAATTCAGTAAAGTACTTTTTCTCGAGTAAGACTCTTATCCATTTTCTTTGATAATTTGCCAATCCAATGTCATAAACCATAATCCTGGGCCGTTTAGATACTGGAATTGTGTTTAATATTCCTTTCATGTAGTAAAGCCAACTTTGTATTGCACAATAATGATTTGAACTTGATGCTGTCACTATCGTAAAGGGATATTCTTGGTTATATATTGATTGGTCATTCTCGTCGATACCATTGTTTTTGATGTTATGGTCGTAATTAATGTCAGTATGGCTAAATTGTTCTTCGGTCACTAATTGACATATATATATAACAACGAACACAATAATGTAAGTGTTATTTTGTTAATACTTATATAATAGTAATTGTTTTTTACAAACCTATTGATTTATGTTTAAATGAGGGGAAATATGTTAAGATGAGTGATATTAAAATAATAGCTATTATTATTCTAAAATGAGCTGGCAACCGTATCCTTATCATTCTTTTTTAATTATTTTTTTTTAAATAAAAACTAATTTTCAATTAATTTTACATACTGCAATAGTCATATCAGCAATGAAAACCTTTTAACCCCTAACTTAATAAGTGGGTTAATAAGTGGGTTAATAAGTTTCATGAAAATTTTCTTATTAACCTTATTAATTTTTCATCTAACCATATGTATATAAGATCAACAAAAAATAATTACATTCATCACTGAAAGGTCAAATATGGAAACACTATGTAGAAGCCGAAAATTTATCGTCATAAAAAAGCTGTTTGAAATTATCGTGATGAAGAGATTCGTGGTGTTTATGAAAATATGTATAAACATTCCATAAAAGTCTGTAAAGGAATTACACAAGAGCTTCGTCTTAAAATAACTGAAGCTAGAAAAATGAGACAACAATAACACCAACATAGAGGTTGGCACCGCGCAAAAATTCTTTGACCGGTTAATTAACCGTTAAAATTAAGAGTTGACTGGTTAACTGGTTAATTTAGTCACGTGGAATTTTTTAACTGGTAAATTCGATCGTTCATTACTTACAAAATAATCACGCGCCTGTTGAATT